GGAGAATAAGCAGAGCCAACGGGTGTCAGTAGGACACTGGAGGGACATAATCAATCAGATTCAGCTGATGCTAATTTATGTATTTTTCATTCAGAAGGACATCTTTTCTTCAAAGTTCTCCCTTCAACACAGAAGATTCAGTTTCTTTGAAAAAGCAAAAGGCAATTTAGTTGTACTACCTAACAATGAGTTAGAAAACAATATAAGCGGTAACTTCCTTCCAAACAGCTACCACTTAATATCAAAGTGGCATATGGTAGAATCCTTCCTAGGATTTGAGTCTTGCTCTTTAACTAAGTATGTTGCTTTGGTACACCTGACTTTGTCTGGGATGAGGGAAAGTCAGGGTAGTTTTCTCCCAGGAGGTAAGGATTGGGCCTTAAGAGTTAAGAAGACAAAGGATATGAAGGTGGAGAGAGCTTTTCAAGCAGAAGAGACACAATGTGTAATGCGAGGTGAAGAGAAGAAGCATTTTCAAAGAGGGTCTATGTGATTTGAGTGTAAAGAATGGGAAGGGTGGATCTGGGGAAGCTCGCAAGGTCATTGGACTTTGTAGCCTGTTAAGAACTTTGCTTGCTATGCTAACACAGAGGGAAGCTACCATGCAGTTTAATCAGGAAAGTGAGCAAATAGTATGAATTTTTGCCTATAACCTTGGCATTTCATGCTATTGATGTGATTATTTTATTAATAATGGAAATTACATTTGAATATCTATGTACAAAAACTACAGAATGGCCATTTCACCGATTTCTACTCTTTCCATAATTGATATAGATCAGTAAAAAGTCTAATTTATTCAATAGTGTCCAAAACTGTTGAGAGCAGTACCAGGATAATCACTTGTTCCATGATGTGTTCATCTCACCATTGATTTTTGACTTAGAGAAGTGGAGAAAAATTAGCTTCTATGATACTTTGCTGTCTATAGCTGTAAATAATGTCCATTTGAACTAAATTGTAAACATTTCAACATCCCTAGGATAGGAATGTTATTTTATATATCTACATAAGAATGCCTTTATATGTTTGTTAATATTCTTTAAAAATTTATGTAGTACTATAAACTGTGTGTTTATCTTTGAATATAGATATATGAATATAAAATCTCAGATGTTAAACAGTTTGAGCTGTTTAATGTTTCATTAAGAAGACAAAAACATAGCTTTTGTTGGAATAAAATTATGATTTGTTATGGATCAAACATATTTTGGTTTTATGTTTCTTAAAATTTTGTGGCCTTATTTATACTATTGACAAAAATGAGGTGATTCTTTTTGTTTAGTTGTGGACTTGTTGAAAGAGAATATTTATTAAGCATTAAAACGTATTATTACTTTTTCTGAAATATTCTCTAGATTTGATAATTATATTTTATCAAAATGACTCATTGTGGAACATCAAAAAATAGATAAAATTTCACTTTTTCCTGAATCAGATAATGATGCCAGTAATTTTACCTTTACATTATTTTATATTAATTAAATAATTTTTTCTTTATCTTTGTTAGGTTATTACCATTGGAAAGCATGTTAAAGGGTACCACTACATCATTGCAAATCTGGTAGGTGAATTAATTGGTATTTATTATGTTACTAGATATGTTTATTGGTTTAAAAAGTTAACTTTGAATGGCCAGCATTTATCAGTGATGTTTTTAAAAATATAGTTTGATTAAATTTGATGGAGTAGAAGTGACAATCTATCTCTGAATATATGTTTTAGAAGTACTTCCCATTTTATGTCTTCTAACCAATTTCCTATTATTACAAATAATTTGTAGAACAGTATTTGACAAGTTTTATAAATCATCTCAGAAGGTGCATTTTAAGAAAGAGAGAATTTTCACAAATATTTAAAGTTTAATTATCCAAATTTCCTCGTTTCTCACTGTCGCTGTCTTTTATAAACTTTTCCCTCTGAACACTCTTTTAAAATTTTTAGTATGCACAATATCTGAAATAAATGTGCATTTGTGAAAATATGTCTTAGTGCAAAATTAAACCTGGAAATATTCAGAATATTGATATGTATTATTTATTTCTGATTTCCTGCTTGCTATATAAAGAACACAATGAAAATCAAATTCCTATAGCCAATCACTTTTTCATCATGATTCCTGTCAAAATAAGAGACACTGAAAAAACAGAGTGGTTAATTGTATTTTCCTCTCTTAAATATCATCAGAGTCCATGTAGAATGATCACCAGATATTTTTCCAAATAATTCAGGCCTTTGTCGTTGCAAAGGTTTATGTTCTCTACATAAGTATGTGATCGAGGATTACTCTCCATTCCACACCCCCACCCCATAAAAACCACAAGAGAAAAAGGTGAGGAAAACAGGGAGAGAAGCAGAGACCTTATTCTAAATAGCATAATAAGACTCTGAAAAGGTTTTAACAATAAGCAAGTGTAGATTTATTTCTTGGTTTCTGGAGTATCAGATTGTTAACATCAGAAAACAGTCTTTCTAGTAGTGACAGAAAGAGATAAAAACATAACAAACAAAACTTACAACCTACAACTGATAAATATTGTTTTCACTAGAAGGTGGTGTATCAGGAACTAAGAATATTACATTTCAAACCTATGTGCTATTGGGAGGAGTTGGTTGTTCAAGATGAAGTTTCTGTTTGGCAATGAAATGGCTAATGGCTAACTACTACAGAAATTCTCCAGACTTTCCCTTAAAGTGTATGAAGGAGATCGAAAGGGCTCCCTAAGGAGAAGCAAGAGTTAAACTAGATGAAGCTCTGTATTCAGTCTCTTCAGAACCACATTATGTGCAGGGAACAGCCTGGACTGTCAGTCCCTTGTGTAAATTGTGCCATTTGATGAACAACACAGAGCCACATTGAAAGCTGTGATCTTTAAAAATGTCCAGATGGAGAAGATTATATTGGAACATTGAGAAATAATGACAGAAGGTGGCTCATCAATTTGAGAGCTGATATCTGATGCTATAGAAGTGTCTGAATGACCAAAGTAAAAAAAGAAAACAGCAAGTTCATGCTGCTGTCATGCTTCTGGGGAGAAATCTACCTAATATTCTATCTGAATTCAAGTTCTGTTTTCCATTTTCTGAATACTTGATTTCCTCACCACATGGAACTTCTAGTAAATCAGTAAGTTCAACAGTCTGTATAGTGTTGCGATTTCTGAGAATTTAGAGAACGGTTGTAAATTTCACTGACATTTAAAGTTGAAGAATGTCACCCAACATGGAAGGGCTTTCATCCTCCAAACTCTTGACTGAGAATGTCCTGTTTGCTGTGCAGTGTCCAGTGAGTGTTAGAGTAGGTGCTTATGAAAAATTAAAAAAAAATCCTCGGATAATATTATTGATTAGTTTCCTTAGGAATTGTGGAACACTTGATAAGGCTCCTAAAACACAGGCTGTGATTAAGTTTCTGATAACAACATTTAAAAGCATAACGTGTACATAGAGTGAAGAAGAAGGGGCATAAGGGGACGTAGTTCTCATTTCTTCAAACTTATTACTCTCCTCGATTTAATTCTTTAAAAAGTGGTGGTTCCTGCTGATGATTTGACATGTCTGTATGATAAAATTTTAGGTTTTTACAGTCTGTTAAGGAAGATTTACCTTTCATTTTAAAACTCTGCAAATAAATCTCCAGGAGTAGTAGTGTCAGTTTTAATTTGCCAAGTTGTTGCCATCTGTATTGTTAACCCTTGGCCTCTTCCTTGTGATTGCTTCCCTCTTTTTTTCCTTCTTTCTCTCATGTTGCTTTTTATAAATTGAAAAGTTTCAGAGAACAAAGAGGAAAACTTAGGAAAATGCAGATCCTCACTGAAGCCAACTTAAAACCTTATTCAAGGTTTCAGTTGAAAGAGTCTTTTGTAGTAAAACCACAGTAAAATGACAGTAAAAGAGTAAAAATTATATAAAACCTTAAGGAAAGAGAAAATAGGAAATGAAACATTAACAGGTACAAAAAGTCAACAAATGTTTTTCAGGACACACAGCAGATGAAGGATGAGTATGTGGTATAGCAAAGAGAAGGAAGATGAAACTAAAAGTGCCTGCAGAGTGAGATACGGACAAGGAACTAACTTGTGAGATTCAGTCTTTGAAGAACAAGAAACCACAGAAAGCAAGCTTAAGGTGTTGAGCTAAAAGTAGGAATCTCTTACTGGTTTCTCTAGAAGCAGAGCCAGGCATGGGTATTTATGTACACATTATTAAGTAAGTTTCAGGAGCAACCTGTAAAGGAATGAGGGAAGCAACAGAGGGAAGGAAAAAAAGCTGTGCAAGAACTGGTTTCAGGTGAGATTTGTGAGGGAAGCAACCAACAGAGGGAAGGAAAAACAGCTATGCAAGAATGGGTTTCAGGTGAGACTTGTATTCAGTCTGATCCCTTGGGGTGCTCTGTTACATAAATTGCACCTCATTTTTTCAACCTGAGGCAAGACAGAGGGACTTTTGTACCTAGATCCCAGTTAGTCTTTGCCATTGACCAAGGGCCATGAGCAGGTGGCTCCTACTCTCCAAGGACAATTCTCTGGGAAAGGTTATGGATATGAGCCATTGGCCAAAGCAGAGGAAGCACCTGGGGGATGGGCAAATCAACTGCATCTGTAAAATGGATCCTAGGGAACCTGGGTGGTCACTAAGAGCACCTGGTACAAGGGACTTGATTCAAAGGCGAACCAGGTAACTACAAACCCTGGTCCCTAAACACCCACTTCTCTTGATAATACTTTGTTCTAGAGAGCATGAGTTGGAAAAGTTCCTGAGACTCAGAGAACTGAGCTTAAAAACAGCGCAACTAAGAGAAAGTCTCCATCTGGTATTCTGAACCTCACCATCCGCCATCCAGGCACCCACCATCCTGTTCCTAGAATTTAGCCAAGCCTATACGGTTATGTAGGAGAATGGAGGATTCTGAAGAAATTGTTTAAAAGCCCAGAGAAAAGGACTCTAGATGTGAACACAACGCACTATTATTCACCCCACCTAACCATCTATTATACCTTGCAGTGAAACATACTTGCTAACAAGCCTTGCCCGTGCACATAGAAATTCCAAGAAGCATTTGGTGTTTTACTCTCAAATAGTCAAGGATAACTTGGCATTTGAGAAAAGTCTC